ATGTAATTCTGTAGATATCTTACAACTCCTCCTTAGGTAAAGTTTCCCCTCACCCCGCAATATGGCTTCATTCAAGGCTTTTCTTTTGTCTTTGATTTTCTGAAGTTTGAATACTTGTGTTTTTTTTTTTTTTCTGACAATACAGTTTAAACTTAGGGCCTTGTGTTTGCTAAGCAGGTGCTCTATCACTTAAGCCATACCCCTAGCTCTTTTGTCATTGGCGTTTTTTTGACATAGGATCTTGTTTTGTGCTCAGTCCAAACTGGACCAGGATCCTCCCAGTCTCTGCCTCCTGAGTAGCTAGGTTACACACTGGAGCCACCATTCCAGGCAGTTTTCGTAGTTTCTTTTGATATATCCTCAAGTTCGTAGATCTCTTCTTCATCCATGTACAGTGTACTAATGAACCCATCAAAGGCATTCTTCATTTCTCTTACAGATTTGTTCTCCTCTCCAGCATTTATTTTTCCATCTTTCTTAGATTTTTCCCTTTTTCTAAGAAAGTTTCATAATTTCATGATCATTCTAATCTTGTATGGTATTTACATTTTCCTTTTCAAATCTTGACATGTTAATCATAGCTTTAAAAAATAAAAACAAACGAACAAACAAAAAAACCATGGTCTGATAATTGCAGCATTCCTGCCATTTTTAAGAGGAGGGGGTGGTTCCCAATGTTGCCCAGGCTGGTGGGGAACCTCCTGGACTCATGCTGTTCTTCTCTCAGCCTCCCACATAGTGGAACTATAGGCATGAAACATCACACATGGCTTTTTTCTGCCATTCTTCATTCTAGTTTGGGTGTTTGTTCAAGATCTTCAAATTTACGTCTTTTGCCTTTTAGGATGCCTTGTAATTTTTTGCCGAAGGGCAAAAAACATGGTGTACTGTGTAAGGAACTACAGAAAGAGGCTTTTAGTCCCATAGTAGTTAGGTGTGGGGAGTGAGGAGATATGTCTCAGTTTTTTAGAGAGCCCGTGTTCCTGGACTGTAAACTTCGTACATGCTTCTCAGGTACAGGGTAGGTGGGGGATGATGAAGTTATGTATTTCTTTTCTCCAAGGAGATTAGATGCTGATAAAACTCCAGTAAGTTAGGTTACCCTTCCTTGGCCAGAAGCATGATGCTATTTTCCTAAATGATCCCAGTGAGGATCTGGGAAGGCTCCTGGAGGAGAAACACAGAAGTGTGTCATCCCAGCCAGCCTTCCATGGCTGGCCCTCTCTGGAGTTTGTAACTTTTAGATTTGTCCACAGTGAGACTGCAGCTATGTGTCAATCCCATTAAGGTTTCCTACCCAGGAACAGTTTCCTTCAGGGGTTTTCCCCACAGGCTTTTGCTCTTGTGAGCTGTGTTTCCCTACATCTACCTGTCTATGTCTCTGATTTGTGACTTTACTTCACTGTTGGATCTAAGAATACTTGTTGACTTTTTGGTTTGGTCAGTGTTCTGCTCCTTGTTAGCATCGAGTGTCAACCCTGCCTTTTTAAATATCATGCAAACTTCAACTCTAGAGATGATGAAGCATCCTAATGACAAAGGGAAAAATGCTACAGCAATTTTGTGTCAGCATATTGTTCCTGAGAAACAAGCTGTTTTCCCACATGCTGCAAGCCATGGGATGGGTCAAAACTCAGAGTCAAATGCAAATGACTTGACTCAAAAGGAAAGAATAAATGGCTTAGAACACCAGAGAGCCAGCTACCAGAGCATCCCTGAACCTCAGCAGGAGATCATCTGAGGGCAGTGTTGTTTGCTTTACAGAAAAACGTCTGCATTTTCATGGGACAAAATTCCAAGAGTATGAAAAGGCAATTGAAATAAGCCTCTTTCAACCCCTAGTTCTCCTTTGTAGAGGCAACATGTTACCAGATTCTTCTGTCTCTTTAAAATACATCCTTAGAAGAGTGGTTGAGTACACATACCTTTAAACGGAAACCTATTTTAGAAGTACATGTTCTTACAGAGTTTTAGAATTGGAGGGTACCTGTTTCAGTCATTCATTCACAGTATCCTTTAGTACTTAATACTCCTATGTAAAATATGTTTTAAAAATGGAGAAATCCTTTTCACTCTGAGGGAAGCTAATTTGAAATATGTCACTTCGGTTTTTTTTTTTTTTCCCCCTCATCAATCTTTGCTTTGACTTCTAAGGCCAGGAAAAAACAAAACAAAAAAAAAAAAAAACAGGTGGCCAAATGCTTCTCTTCTAAGATGGAACTTAAAATATTTGAAGCCTGTGTATCTTCATCCAGTCAAAGAACCTGTTACTCCTCCCTTTCTACAGACTGCATGGATTTAGGGAAATCAGTGCCATGTTTCCTCTAGGAAAGACTAAACTACTACTCGATATACTCAAAAACTTCCTCTAAGAAGATAGCTACTCATAGAGAAAGAATTTCTTCTGCATAGCTGGCAGAGAATGAACAGTCTGTTATGGAAGTGAATATACACTTATAACATCTGTTATGAGAAATACCAGAGTTTTTTGTATGTGTGTAACTTTGGCAAGAATAGGGACTTTATCCAAAAAATTGTTTTGGTCAAGCAGAAAGTTAGGTTACATTTGATCTAACAAGTTTTCCAAGACACAATGAAATAGAATTTGGGGTCCTAAAGTCAGTATTTGGCTCAGGTTTAGAGGAGGTTGAGAAGAGAGGGATGAAGAACGTTGTTTTGGTCAGCATCCCATAATAATAGCAAGTATGCCTTGGGACTTGGCTAGTTATTTATCCTCTCCAAGCCATAATAAAAGGCAAAGGAAAGTGTCACTAGCTCATGGGTTGTCAGATATGCTGTGTCTGACCAGTACTTAACACAGAGCTCAGGCCACTGTTGCTGTTTCCTCAGTGGCACAGAGCATCCAAACTCTGCCCAGGCTGGGGCCTAGCATCACTCTCCACACACTCTGTGTGCTGAGCAACCTCCTCCAAAGGCCCTGGCTAGGCAAGGCTCCTCTATTCTTTCAAGAAGAAATCATTTCTGTCAGCCCAGTCACGCAGGTTTTTTTTTTTTTTTTTCTGAGAAACATGGTTATCAATAAACTCCAGATACTGCCAAGGAGTACAAAATCAACCTGCATGTTAGTCTTTATATTAAAGACTCAAAGGAGAAACTCAGCTTTACGTAGGAGTCCCAGAAGAATGTTCAGGAAACCCATTCCTTGGAATCCAGCCTTAGCATTGTATTGAGTACCTGAAATATCCACTGTTTCATGAAGCTCTGCGTTGTGAGATAGCATGGCAATCAGATTAGATCAAGGGATGTTACAACCAACATTTCCGTGACGACTGTGGCTTCATAGCTAGCATACAGCCCCTTGAAGTTTCTGCAGATTGTCATGGAGGTAGGGGAAGGAGCTCAAAAGAGAAATTCCAATGCTGTACTAAAAATTAATTTTGTCTTTTAATATGTGTTCACTGTGACTTGTGCCACTGACTATTCTCCTTGACAGAAAATATGGTCTAGAGCCATGTTTGTGGCCCTTGTTTAGCACTTCATTGTATGCAGATCTTTTATAAGGCCCTCCTGTCTTCATTTTATGTTGTACTGTTATGTTTCCTGTTTGTTTTTCTCTAATTTTTTCCTTGTATTTTATTTCTTTACAAATTGCTTTAAGCTTTGGAATATGTGGAGGGAGCCAAAGACGTGATCAGGATGTCAGTGGATGCCCTATTTGTTAAAACAAAGGAACAAATTGCTTACTTCATTCTCAGTAAAGTTCCAGGTTCCCTGGATGGTGCCGAGCACTGTGTCCTGCATATTCCCTGGGTAAACCTCACCATTCACCACTCCAGGTGTAAGACTCGGGCACAAATGCTCTGCTGAAAAGATGGGGGTCCCTCTCCTCCAGCAACGCGAAAGGGCTGGCCTTAGCTTCATTGACCATAGGTTTGAGATGACTGCTAAAGCTGAGAGACCCAGAATCCAGCTAAGCCTGAAGGTTACCAATCAGCCTTCTCAGGAATGAAGGAATGGAGGAACCTGGCTGTAGAATGTGTCCAGAGGACATTTCTCCTCCTATAGGTGAAGGAGCACCAGGGGCAAAGGGGGATGGGGGGTCAGGTTGGTCTTTGCAAAAGGAATTTAACTAAATTCTGGCATAAGAAATTCTTAGTGAGTTTCTCTGGCATTTCTCCTACTTGAGTGTTGTATGGCTGCTCAGGTCAGTAGGCACCTAAACTTTGTAAAAGTATTTCAGTTGTTATTTGTGTCAAGCCTTATTCTAACCACTTCACTTTTGCAAGGTAATTCAACTCACGTATTTGCTTTTCGAGTACTCCTTTCTGGTACATGAAATGTTGTGTGGGCACTCCACTCGGTACTCATGCATTCATTCAACAAACGTTTACTGAGAACTTTCTCTGTGCCAGGAGTTGGTCGCCCTCATTTCAGACGATTTAGAGGGTGCTAGGTAGAATCTGAAGGACCCTGGGACTTCTGAGTGCCACTTCAGACACCTTGCACCCTTGCCGTGCCAGCGCGGTTGGGAATGCCTCAGCTGCAAGGCGAGCTTCTGACCCCTGCCAGGATCCAGGTGCTGAGGGCAGCAGGGGACAAGAATGAAAAGAGCAGCTTCCGCATCTGTGTCATTATCCAACCTTGGCTCTAAGGCTCAGTCAGTTTGTTGAGGAGCGGGTACAAATTTCCTTAGTAAACTGAAAGAAGGGAAAAGGGAGAAGGGAACGCTAACACGGATTTGGCTCCATGTAGGCTGGCCCACCGATACCCTGGAGCCGCGCAGAGGACTCCCCACTTCGAATGTAACTCCCAAGTACACCAGCTGCCCGCCGGCCGCCTGGCCACCACCTCCCTGTCGCTAGCGGCCGGCTCCCGATCCTTGCTGCTGAGTTTTTCCTCCCTGCTCGCTTTCCGCTCCTCCTCTGCTCCTCCCGATCCCTCCTCCTCCGCCTGGTCCCTCCTCCTCCCGCCCAGCCTCCCCACGCCCCGGCCCGAGCCAGCGAGACGTCTGACCAGCTCCCCGTGAGGCTCAGCAGCAGCCTCCGCCTCCCGCACGGTGTGCGCGCCCGCGGCCAGGGCTGCCCCAGCGAGTCCGGCGGCCGCCGCCTCCCTAACCAGTCCACAGGCCACCTCGGCGATCTCCCGAGTCCCCGCCTCGCCACCGTCGTCGCCGGCGCGCACGGCCGCCAGACCGCGTCCCGGATTAATTGGGGACAGCGGAGGCGGCTCCTCCCCAGCAGCGATGCGACCCTCTGGGACGGCCGGAGCCGCGCTGCTGGTGCTGCTGGTAGCGCTTTTCCAGGGGAGTCTGGCGCTGGAGGAAAAGAAAGGTAAGGACGCGTCCCGCCGGTTCCCGCGTCCCCTCCGGAGCGCCCCGTCCCCGCAGCCGCCCCGCCCGCGCTCCGGCGCACCGGCTAGGCGTCCCGCGCCGCCCGCCCCGCCTTTCCTGTTTCCTTGAGGATCGGCTGCGCTTCTGGCTGGGACCGTGGGAGGAACTGGACGTTTCGTTTCAGGACTGGGAGATACTGCGGCGGCCAGGAAAGGGAGACGCGGGGTTCGGGGCACCGCGCTGCGAGCGCGCCGTGGGAACCGCCGCAGGGAGCTCCCGCGACCCCGACCGCTCCCAACTTTCTTTCCTCACTTTTCTGCTTTCCTGCCCTCGGTCGGCGTCCGTGGGCAAAACCATGGTGTCGGGCTGCGCCAGGCGACTGGGGTCCTGCACGTGCGCCCTACGCTGTCACCTCGACCTGCCGGGCGGGTTAGAGGGCCACGCAAGAGGTGGGCGCGCCCCACGCGCGGAGCCCACGGCCTTAGGGAGTGAGGAAGGACTCTGGCTATCCCTCGAATCTTGTAGGACAGGCGGCTTCGTGAGGTCCCTCCGCACCCCGTTCCGTCACCGGGGTCTCACTTTTAAGCCCGCATGTTGGCCTGGCCCTGCCAGCCGGAGTCCCGGCCCCGCTCGCAGGTCCCTGCAAGCCTTGCCGGGTGTGGAGCTGTAGTAGTGACCTGGGAGGCTGGGAAAACTTGTCTCTGTCACTAACCACCTGCGGCAACCAGGGAGGGGTAGTGCTGGTGGTGATTAGTTTCCTCGTCTGCAAAAAGGGGAGTGAGGTGGGGTCCGTACCGCCCCTCCGGCGCCGAACCCTGCCACTCGCTCTGCGTGTTGAGGTCCAGGTCTTGGTGGGCCAGGTGCTCCGGTCCGGAAGGCCAGGACTCCCTGCCAGTTCGTAGCTCCTTCCCGGAGTCCCGCTGGATGACTGCTTCCCCGACCTCCGAGGCTTGGCCCCCCACCGCAGAGCTTCCTTAGCATCTCTGCTCTTTGCAGTGGACCTGGACCCAGCTGTATGACTGCCTGCGATGCCACAACTGGGTCCTTGTGCCGAGCTCCCCAGGCGTCGCACGCACTCCAGCCACCCATCCCCAAGGTGTTTCAAAACTGGGCTCACAGTAAACTTTCTTATTAAGAGATTTTCTCTTTTTGGATGTTTCTTTTCTTTTTCTTTTTTTTTTTTTAAGAGTTTGACATTGGGCCAACCAAAATATTAAACCTAATTAAAAAAAAAACCAATGGATGTCCATAGTTCACGCGTGCCAACTGTCCAGACGGAACATGAGCAAGTCTGGCTTCCTGACTGCCGACCATAAACCTACTTGACACGAGAAACATGCCTCAGAAGGTTTAATTGCACAATTTCCAAATCCAGCGGCTCGGGTTCCAAGAGTCAGGTCCGCACTTGCTGTTGATGTCATTGGCATTGGAGTAGGGGGTTGATGCTGCAGGAGTAAAGCCAAGAGCCGAGCTGTGGCCCAAACATTGCTGCACACTGAGCTCTCCTGAGATTAAAAACAAACAGGCAACTGGCAACACCAAGAATAAACCTAATGTCTACCTGCCACCCGGAGCTCAGTGGCAGGTGGGGTGAAAAGTGGGCAATGAGGTCTTCGAAAGTTCTTCAGGTGTTTCTGTTGGTCAGCCAGGTTGAGACTGGCTGGCGTAGAAGAAGGATTGGTAAAGTCTCCAGGAAGGTTCCATGCCACAGATAGGGTTCTTTTGGAACTTCTGGAGTTTTAACCATCTTGCAGGCGGTTGGTCCTTGTCTTCAGGTGGCATCTGTCCCTGTCCAAGGGTTCCCACCCTTCTCCTTTTAAGTTAACCTCTTAGAGCCACCCCATGGAGCCTTGCTTCACTCCTGAAGTGTGCGCCACTCTTTGATGTTCCTCTTCTGAACACTGCTATTAGTGGTTAGAAATTTGTTTCTGGGTAAATATGAATACCACTTAATTTGTCTGTTTGTCCTATAATCTCTTAAAATCAAATGCTCCCAAATACAATAGTGAGAGTAGCAAACAAAGGACATTTTCTTAAAGACTAAAATATAGGGGCAAATTATTACAGATAGGAGATGAAATCTTCCTGAAAAGGTTGTTAAAGAACTCTGTTGATTTAAACCAGTCAATTTTGTTCAAGATTTCTTCATTTTGCTGAGGCTTTTTTGTTGTTGTTGTTCTAAGCTATGACATCATTTGTACCTGTTGCACCGATAGCTAAGGACAAGCAGACAACTCTTTAAGTCTTCTTAATTAATCCTTACATCAAGTGTATGAAGTGGGTACTCTTGTTATATAGGGGGAAACTGAGGTACAGAGAAGGAACTAGTTTTCCTATGGCTAGTAAGAAGCAAAATCAAGATTCAAATTCCCTCAACCTTCAAACTGCTGACTTGTTTTAGGAAAGCCAGGTCAGGAGGAACAGGCCTGTTAGGATGAATCCTTTGTCTGAAGCTTGCAAATGCTTGTTTATTCAGTGGTCTATGCACCTGCTTGGGGTTCTCAGTAGTCACACTGGCTTCCTTTTATGGGGGCAGCACAGTCACCAAGTCAACTGTGTACAGGGAAATGGCTCTATCATATTAAGCCACCCCCCTCGCTTTTGCACAGTGAAGAGGTAAAGGTGCGCTCACGGAGACCCTGAGTAAGGAGAGCAAGGATCTTCAACCAAGGGAGCTTTACAGAAGTGAGCTTGTCCTGACTCCACCTCTGAAGATATTCTGATTCAGAAGGTCTGGTTTATATAAAGAGTGGAAAATCTAATGGGCAAAGTGAAGGACCACCACCCTCCTTTCTCTAAGGTGATCAGATCTCAGGAAGACCCAGGTCTACCTGGGCAAACTGGAGACCTATTTTCTCGTTCCAGCCCTAGATGAGGGTGGACAAGTCACTCAAGGCTCCAAGCTTCTGAGTCCCTATTTCAGAATTAAGTGACTGTTTAGTGAATAGATTGCCAGACATTAAGAGTTTAGTGGGGTAGGGATAGTGATATTGGTTTCTGCTATTGCTTTCAAAGACACGTGCTTCATTAAGCCACTAATTAAATATTTGTAAGTTGTTTTTCAAATGTGAAGAGGAGACCAGTGGTCTTCTTGTCTGTGTATATCCATAGCAATGTAGCATAGACCAGTAGAAACGGGATGATAGCTCCTGTAGTCTCTGAACAGTCACTGTTGGCTTCATATATTCAGTTTCATAACACATAATTTTTCAAAAAACTTGTGGTGAAGTTTAAAGAAATCAACTATCAAAATCTATTGTGCTGTGTAATTACACTTGGTGCATGTGACACCACTAGCATGTTTTGAGATGAGTGAAGATGAAGGACTCCACCCTGTTTAAAAACAAAATACTCTTTGCTTTTTCTTTGATCTAAGCACCAGGACTGGCAGCTAGTATCCGAAACTTTTTTTGATAGGAATGACAAACCAAGTGTAATAGTAAGGGCAGCTGTTAAAGGTGAGAATTTATCTGGTACCTGGGTCCTGAAATGGGTATGGGATCAAGATGTTGAAGACATTCAGCCTGTCAAAGGATCCACCTGTGAAATGATGTCTCACTTGCTGTGAGAGTGGGGGTATGTGTGTGTGTGTGTGTGTGTGTGTATGACTTAGTAAGTACTGTAGTAATGGCTTTATTAAAAGTTAGATCTTACTAACAAGATACTAGAAAAGTTTTAGAACATGGCCCACTGATGTATTGTGTCCTTATAAACAAAGTTTTAAGAATTAGATTCTGTTCCTCAGATCCACAGTGAGCTAATTCCATTTTGTTTGCTTCCTTCATTTATGGACATTTGAAATTATGGCAAGAAACATCTTTCATCTCTGTTAATTATCACTGGTTTATTCTTGAGCTGTCAACACCTACAGAATAGAGTGCAAATCTTAGCTTGTTCTCCTGGGTTGTTCCCATGTGACATCACAGTGTTTTCTGATGCCTTCTTTTTATTTTCTTTCTAAAAATTGTCTTTTCTAAGAATATTTCAGCCATTGACTCTTTGGACAGTGTTTCCATATTGTCCACCACCAGGTCCATGGACACAAGCCAGTTGGACAAGGCTCTAAGCTTTGAGGCATCTTCAAATAATTGGTTTGACTATAATTTTCACCTTTTCAGAGTCATTTGGTAAAGCTTCCTTCCTACACACACACACACACACACACACACTCAATCTAGGTGTCTAGAAAGTTCGCTAAACCAGCTGGGAAGGGTAATTGGGGCCAGGGAGTAGTTTGGGGCATGTTTACTGAACCCTGATAGAAACTCTGTGCTGGATTTGACATTTTAATCTCTGACGACACTGAAACACAGTATCAGATATCAGGCCCTGTTGACCGGCCATATGTGAATTGCATATGCTTCAAATAAATTTTATTCCTAGCAATTTTAGCAGCTTGCTTTAGAAAGTAGTATGTGAACTCTGTCATGGGGCTAGAATGTCCCTCTTTGTTCCAAATTCTTCCCCATTCTGGTGGGTTCACAGGAACAGACCCAGAGTCTAATTGTCCTTTTTTACTTTATCTGCTGGATTTATAAGTTAGGAGAATAATAGTTATATATTGTATACATAGCCTTAAATATGCTCATACTTACATTGTTTCTGGTGCAGCAGCACACACAGGCTGATTGAGTATAAATAATTATGTAAGTTAGCCACTATTGTTTGTCCTTTGAGTATTTGGACAAGTATTGCTACCTATTAGTTGTTAGACTTTTTTTTGCAGTTTTTTTTCTGTATTTGAGTCATGACGAGCAGTTTGCACTATTCTATCCATAGTTTGATGTGTAAGAATGAGTCAGAGTTGGCACTCGCCCTTGAGTGTCTGCAGTTCAGTTTTCAGAAGAGAGAGTGAGTGTGCCACACTGTGACAGAAGCAGTGGTAGAACTTGGCACAGGATAAAGGATGTCTTTTGAGAGTAAGCTTTGCTTTTAATTCTACCTGGAGAGGAGGCCACATTTGGTTATATGGTCACTTTGTGGGAGAGTAGGATGTAGGGG